CTCTCTCTCTCTCTCTCATTCAGCAGAGCTCCAACAATGAACTGTTCTCTCTCTCTCTCTCTCTCTCTCTCTCTCTCTCTCTCTCATTCAGCAGAGCTCCAACAATGAACTGTTCCAATTATACACTTATTTTCACATAGCTGTGAGAAGCGTTATACATGGACGCCCATGCAGTTGCCGTTTTGTATTAAAGCTTTAATCAGGATAAAACCGTATTAAAAGCTAACAAGCAGTAGCATTTACAAATAACAGCATATCTAAATGTATGAGACAACAACAAACAAAAAACATAGGCCTACCATTAAAAGCCGTGCTTGCACAGGTTCTGCACGATCCTCTTCAATAATATCCTCTGCTTCTCAATCGAGCTCAAACTGATAAGCGATATTAACGACGCCGTTGTTTACAATACAACCGGAGCACATGCTGCTGAGGTGAGGGGCGGGACGTTTAGACGCACACTAGAGGTGGTTTAGCCAATCACAACACACTGGGCTAGTTCATCGCCTACTTCTGAGGGCGGGGCTTCATAAAAGCAGGAAATGATCAGCGCGTTTCTCAGAGAAGGGACAGAGCAGTGTGGAATAAAGGTAAATTATGTGGAAAATAATCCTTTTTAAAAAAAATAAAAAAAACAAGCATTAACACGTTAGACTGCACCCCATAAACACAATCAAGCCTAGAAAAAAAAACAGTGAACCACCCCTTTAAAAGACACTAATATTCAACTGCTCTGACACTATATAAGTAGCTTGACCTCATAAAACGCCACTGTCCGTGCTTTGTTGTCCTGTATCTTGTGCACCTCCTTTGCGAAAATTAAGTACACTTTAGCGTACTTTTGAAAAAGAGTATTATGATAATTATGTCTTATCCCGGTCAGCTCCACAACTGCATGAATAGCTCCGGTGAGAAGCTGTTGTCTGGAATGTGCTGCTTATGCGTACAGTGGCTGTACCATGCATTGCGATTGCTGTTGAGTGTTGCTGCGCTTATGTCGTCTTATGCCGTGCGTTAACAAATGGAGAGCTATATGTCTTAGTTAATGATCACAGAGGAATCAAGATTATAGTGAAAGCCTCGACATAACAGCTAAACTACAATTACAGCTAAACCACAGTCTAAACACAATTAACACAATAAAAGAACATCATCAGTGAGCTATGTGGATATCTTGAGTTTATTCTCTCTTTGGCTTGTGTTCATATATTGTAAAATTAAGGAAATGCCTCAATCCTCAGCACAACTCTAACCCCCGTGTGGACAGTGCTAGTATTAGTCCTGGAATGCAAGTAAGCATTGAATTTGATCCTCCACTAGGGGGAGATAAAAAAAACACAGTCATCAGGGCCCATATCCACAAAACATTTTAAGGCTAAAAGTAGCTCGTAACTCACCAATTTAGGAGAAAATCTTTAAAATAATGTCAGTCCTACACTATTTTTGCCCGATTTTGCCACAATTTGCTTGACGTAGGGTGTCGTGGGGATTCGTAAACGACAATGGGCGTCGGGACGCAAGATTCCATCGTTTCAGCACGTGTAGTGTGTCATAGTGGATGACAACAGATTCCACATCTGCGATGCTTCACGACATCTCGACAGAAAGACTAGCATGTTTAATTTTTTTTCCGTCGTCCACAAGATTTTAGGAGTCAAAATCGTGTAATCTGACACAGTGACTATAGTAACCGACAAAAATATTGTGTAGTCTGAACCCGGCATAAGAGGGAAATATAGCTACTGAGATTTGGTCTTAGTGTATCACAGGGGAAGTTGTGGCCTAATGGTTAGAGAGTCGGACTCGTAACCCAATTTCTATACCGCTTTATACAATACAGATTGTGTCAAAGCAGCTTCACAGAGATAAACAGTTCTTCAGAGCACCTATTTGCCAATTTCAGTTTAAATTCTGCACTTTATTTTAAAATAATTAATTTACAGCTTCCAAATCAGTTAAAGCCTTAATTTTCTGGTAATCTTCATCATCATTTTTGGGAATGTGACAGATAAATAATAATCGATAATTTCTTGATATAAAAAAGCTGATACTCCATTATGCACAGCAGAAACACTGTATAGTTTGTGTGTGTGTGTGTGTGTGTGTGTGTGTGTGCTTGAATACATGGTTTATGAGGACACTTCCTGTGTCCTCATAAACTAAATGGCTTAAAAATACAGTATTTTTGAAATTTGAAATATTTATGGGATAGAAAATACAGTTTGTACATTATAAAGACCATTTGGCCTATGGAGAGTCCCCGTAAACCATATATACAAGCATATGTGTGTGTTTGTGCGTGTGTGTGAGAGAGAGATTTCATATAAATCCTTTGTTGCGTTTTTTTTTTACTGCTAATACAGAAACCCCTTATCTTACCAGTCCAATGCACTTTAGAATACAGTCTGCAACTCAGACAGAAAAGGGCAAACGAAAGATAAGAAGAGAGGTATCGGATGGATAGAATGTCACCTCCTGAATGTTAGAAGGTCAAAAAGCAGACATGGTATCCTTCAGTCTGTCTTTGCCCTCCTGGATAAAACACACCTGGGCAGAGAGAAGGATGACATTCTGTGGACTTGTACAGAGGAGCAGATGCTAGAGTCTGACGGAGAGAGAAAGGCACCAGTATAGACTGAAAGATGTGGAAAAACAGAAAGAGTTTTAAATTGATTTCTTTTGGTTTTTAAAGAACAATTACCACATTTGCCAGGTCTTTCTAATTTAGCTCGAGTTACTGAAAACAGTTCTGAAAAATTCACAGGAGAGTAACAATTGTAATTGCACGGAAGAAACTCAGATAGGCCCATACTGGGAGGGGTAAAACAGGTGTGTCTTACTGTGTGTGTGAGAGAGAGAGAGAGAGAGAGAGAAAGAAGAGGAAGAGAAAGAGAGAGCGTGCCATTGTTGCAGGGATGTTCATGATTATTCGAGAAGGATCAGCAGGAGGGGCAGGTACCGGCGGCATGAGCGCTTCACCGGAGAGAACAGCCAAACAGGTAGAGTTGTGCATGCATGAACTTCTATGTGCGTTTTATAGACATTTGTCTTTAAAATATTAAGTTCTGAACATAATCTGCTTAAAAGGCAAAGTGAGTCATTTTTGTAATATTTTCCTTTATCCCATCTTAATATGCACAGACAACAATACCTAAACCATTGGTGGATTGATTTCCATGAAAAGTGTAAACTCTGACACGATCAGAGCATTGCCCTGTTTTGTTTGAGCACTCTGACGAGTCTGGCACAATCAATGACATAAATCTGGGGGTGGGGCCATCTGTTTGTCCAACCAATAGAAGACAAAGGAATTGTAAACCTTTTTGAAAGGCCTAAACCTTTTTTGAAAGTTTTATTTTTGCAGTTCTATTTAGTGCAGATTTAGACTGAAATTACACTTAACGGTTAAGATAAAATTTGAATATGTAATTTTACTGGATTAGCATGCATTACAGTACGAAACAATACAGTCAAATTTGATTGGCTGAAGGGCCGGTCACACTACACTTTTCATTCCATCGACTTCCATTCATACTCATGCAAATGTAGAAGAGAGAAAGCAAAAGCTCAAGCGAATTTCGCTGCATTCTAAAGTTCACGGTTGATCACGTGAAAACGTGACCAATAGAAGATTGGTGTGGCCTCTTAGATGAATTAAAAGAATGCAAACTTTAATCCTGCAGGATTGGTGGGTTGCAGTAAAGTAAAGTAGATCACATATTTTTACATTTTGGATGCATTATAGCCTATGTAGAATCATGTTAAAAAATAAATAAAAAAAGACACCAGAGAGCTTAACGTCATTATTAGGATGCAGTGTCCGTAGAAATTAGGCTCGTTTGAGATGAGCAAAAATCTGCCCAGAACCGATCATCGGTGATCACCGCAAGATGCATGCCGGTTAGAAATGTGTCCGAGGGAAGTCTGCCTTGCTTTGATGTCACGCCGACAAAAATCTCGAGCGCAGTTGCTCTCCACCAGCTGCGCTGATCAAAAGCACGATGAGAAACGACTCGCTGTCGCTGATGACACAGATTAATGCTCACTGGTTCAAACAACCGTGATGTTGTGTTCTCTTCTAAAATGTAAATTTTTTTTATCTGATATCATGTGATTATGTTTCAATTATGCATGAATATTCCCAAACACTATGCCAGTGCGATCTCTGTATGAGATATGTGATTGTTCTCATATTTCTAAAAAATTCTAAAATACATGTTTGTATTCAAGTAAAAATGGGTGATAAATATGTCTTTTGAATTGAATAAATAGCAAGTATTATGAGTGTCTTGTTCATCATATTTGTTTTCATATAAAAGCAACAAAACTGAAAAGATATAATGTTTATTAGCAGCACAGCGCACGAGTGTGAATAGCGTGATTTCCACCTTGATCTCGTCACTCTAAAAAATGCTGGGTTAAATACAACCCAGTGCTGGGTAAAATATGGACAATCCCAGCAATTGGGTTGTTTTGACCCAGCAGTTGTGTTACTACTCAGAGGGTTCCGCTGGGTCAAAACAACCCAATTGCTGGGTTTGTCCATATTTTACCCAGCACTGGGTTGTATTTAACCCAGCATTTTTTAGTATCTGTTCGTTCCACTTCGAGAGGTCAGATCTGTCCGTCTTGACTGCGCTTATTTCACTCCTCCCCGCACCGCAGCCGCCTACTCTAGCCGCATCTCAAACGACTCTAATCAAACCTTATGTGTCCTTCACTCCCATTACGCAGATAATAATTGCAATTATGTTATAATTAGCTATGTAAATGTCCCCGGTTGCTGATTAATCATCAGCTTGGTTTAGGATGTCTGACCTCCTGTGTCTTCTGACAGGTCCAGGCCGCAATCAAGAAGAAGGTGGAGAAACAGAGGAAGCAAGTTGAAATGGGTGTGGTGGAGGTATTTAACAGTAATTCAAGACCTAAAATGGGACAGAGAAAGAATCAGCCCCTCCCTCCACCCAGCAGAAGCGGAGATGGTGAGGAGGAAGATGAGGAGGAGCCTGTTGAGACTGGGGAACAGAAGGAGAAGGAGGAACTCGACCTCAGACCTATCGTGGATTCTGTTTTTGGCCAAGTAAGAGTACACAATTCATATCACAAACACATACTGCCATTTCATGCCCTTCTACCTATAGCAGTCTCACTGTGATCCAAATCTAACTTTGTTTTTCACATTCTTTGTTGTGTTATTACAACCAAAACTGCTTATAACCTATTCGTAATAGAACTAGAGTGGCTATACATCAAATTACTGAAGGCCCTAGCAGGTCTATGCTGATGGGCATTCCTTGTCCCTGCTCTGTTAGGTAACATTGTTGGTACATGATACGGACGGTGCCTTGTTGAGCTCCGCCAACTCATTTCTTTTCTATTCTAAGTGACACTCACTGTGAGAGTAACTGTTACACTATTACAACTTGAAAACCTTGAAGCTCAGAGTCAGACCCAACATTTATTTTGATTCAATGGTAACATATCCGTCATGATATATGACTAGCTGTATATTTCACCTGTATGGTACCCTTGGATGAATCTAACTGTTAATGCTAACTTTTAATGTTAATTAAATTTTTTTTTTCAAAAACATAGCACGATGTTGTGTTAGTTTAACTCAAAATTTAAAGTCAATTTTAAGTCAAAATATTATTTAAAATAATTTCACTGGAGCAAAGTCAGGCTGATTAAGTCACAGTTTTATTTAGTGTTATTCATAAATAATTATAATCTTATTAATATTTGGAATAATTTTTTCTTCTTAGTTTTATTTAATTTTACTTAAATTTGTTATACTTTTGTGATTTGGTTTTGTCAGTTTTATTAGTATTTATCAAGCATTACTAATTCAGGTTTAGTTGTTTTAGTTTTTAGTTTAAAGTTAAACTTAGTTTTAGTTATACTTTCTTCAGTTAGTTACAACATTTCTAACTTATGTTGACATGTTTTGCTTATTAAATTTTATTTCATATTTTGTTTTTAGTTTTAGATAATGCTAATAACTATAATTCAGTTTACTATTCAGTCATCTTTTTAATTGAACCCAGTTAATTTAGATAAGTACATACCACATGAAGTACATTTTTTTGGTTGCCTCGAAAATTCTGCTTTTCGAATATATGACGTTAAATGTTCTGAGAAGGTACATGTGTCCCAGAGCGACTTAACTTCATTAGCAGATAGGTGGTTAGGTGACTGTCAGGCATGAGATGACAGGTTAAGGAGCTGTCCTAACAAGCACATCTGTTCCCTTGTGGTTCACCCGCTCATGACCTGGTCTTAGCCTTGTGGTGTTGCATTCCCACACTAGGATAACCTTGCATCCAGTGCTTATCACTTGATATTGAGCTTGATCACCAGCAGTGAGCACACTAGAAACCCAATCTTGCCCACTCACCTTTCTGGAAGAGGGATCATTGCTTGTATTGTCATAATTATTTAATTGGCTTGGAGACATAGATAGCTACACACTAATTTAGGATAATGCATTCACTGAGTCATTGCATAAGCTGTGTATTAACAACTTTTCTTGCTTATACTCACATGAAGTTAAAAATACAAATAAAAATACTGAATTATTATAGGTTACATTTGTATTTATAATTTACATCTGCACAGTAATTATCATTAGAGCATTCACTGAAACTCAATCCATTAGTTTATGTCCTTTGAGAATGGGTATTGTTAGATAAAAGAGTTAACACATAGTTTAGGTTGACTAGTCTGACATCTGATTATCTTTAAGTCAATAAATAAGAGTTACTCTCCACCTAAATGGGAGGGTAAAATCGATTTAATAATAAATTAAGTCCCCACTACACATATGGCAGTCTTCAAAAACAAGGCTCTCAAACTACGGAGAGGTTGATAGCTAGGTTTTATTTTCCATCTCTGGCCAGTTGATTTATGGCAACAAATTAAGGTGTTTATTATAACAATGAATTTTAATAGATTATATATAGCTATTAACACAGCTTTAAAAATAATAGTTTAGGAAAGGGACTTTGAAACGATTTGATGCCAAGGACCCCCAAATAAGATGATTGTGAGGCATCCACTTTCTAAAACATAAAGGCATATTTAGATTTTCATGTACATGACAAGACCTATTTATGATGTGTGAGGAAAAAAAATTTATTGTTTGCAAAATTACATAAATATTTTAAATATTAAAAACATGTTTTAGTATTTTATATAATATAAATCAAATATTTTGCAGACTGGCAGTACCTCCTAGTGGCTACTACTTTAAGATCCTCATTCTAAAACAAACCAAATTGTCCTGACCTGTCTCTCTGTCACTACACACACAGAACACTATATGATTGCTAGTGAACACAAACACAGCTGGACGCAGTCCCACAATGCTCTGCTGCTAATAGAGTGACCTCGTCTGACTTGATTCTAATCTGTTGGCCCAAAAATGCAGACTTCATTAGATGAAGACAATCAGATTCCTCCTCATACAAACCCCACTTCCGTCATGATGGATATTATTATGCACTATATTATACAATAAAAAGTAGCATTTATCTATTTGCTGATCTTTTTTGAAAACAACAAACCATAATGTTGGCACAGAAAAACATTTTAATAGTATGTGTGTGTGGATTAGAGTAGATTATAGTTCTGACAGGCTGGTAACACAGGGCAATGTCACTGGGTTTTACTAAAATATGAGTGCGGATTAAAGAGTGGTTCTCTGTTCATCTTCCCAAAGGTGTGTTCTGATTAGTCCGGGATTATCACACGCACACACACAACTTTAACCTCAGTGATGAAAAGACATAATCAGTTTCTTTTTTTAACCTTCTGTATTCTTCATTTCTCTTTCTCTGTCATCTTCTTCATAGTAATGCTACAAGCTAAGAACTCTTTCTTAGTGATCTACCTACAATCAGAACACTAATAAAAATGCTGCAATTTTTATCGCAAATTATCTTCAGAGCACAACAATTTGAGTAAATTGAGTAAACATGAATTTCAGATGCTTTAATAATGGACTCCACAGGTTTGGCTAAAGCCTGATGATCATGTTCTCCAGCATGATTTTGAGATGATCATCTTGTGCTGCAACGTAAGAACACAAAGGGAGTCTGCATGAGCAGTCACAAATGTTATTTGACGAGTGACCTAGTAATAGTACACAATTGTTTACTTCAGTATTTTCACTACTATTTTTTTCTTTATTTTGTACAATGCTTCTTTGTTTAAAAGTGTTCAAAGTCTTGAAGCTTTGTTTTTACTTTTTAAATAATTTATTCTTTTTAAAATCATTTTAATATTTGATTTGTTATTAAATTTTGAAAACCAGATTTAAAATGTGGTGTCACGTCAAATAATTGAATGATATTTTAATGTTGAGCAATACAGTGTGAATTAAATGCACACTTATTTCGCACAATATGTACTTCAAACCCTCTGAAAAATACAAATATTAGTCATTGAAAAATATTAGCAAAATGGATAAATATCGCACATTAATCGACCACTGCTCTTTCTTGCACTTATTATTTGCTTCTCCTCGAATCTCCTTGTTCTCTTTTTCTTCCTCTCGGTACATCATCCTGTGGCTCTCCGACTTTAATCTCAAATATAGAGGGGGGGATTAAAAAAGGTTCTCATTTTCTCATCTAATTCTCACCCTCCCTTACGTCCCACTCCTACTCTGCATTCCTCTCTTTCAGCTTGCAAATGAAATCATTTGCATGGGATTGCCATCTGTGAGGAAAGTGAGTGGATAGGGAAGAGAGGGAGAGACGTGGAGATTAAGCGAGATATGAAGATGACAAGAATAGGTAAAAGTATGCTTGTTTTATGAAACATAATGTTATTTGTATTTTGCTTTTGCTTTGTCAGATAGTTATAAGAGAAGGGTCTGAGATGAAAAAGAATGCAAAGGTTTATAGATATATTTGTTGGGTTGGTTTAGGAAACTAAACAATGTGGACTTTTAAGTAGCTTAATATGGAAGCAGTTGAGTGTTGTATTGTCAGTCCACTCGATAAATTAATTATATAAAAAGGGCAGAAGAGGAGAGGAGGGCATCTTCACTGAGGACTAAGGCATGGGAAACTGCACCAAACCATCCCTGAAAAACAAAATTAAAAAGGTAAGAGAAACATATTTAAAGGTCAGGGCCTATATATCGGGGGACTGTGTTTTTGTGTTAATTGTAATATTGAAATGAGTGGGAGAGGAATCATACTTTAAAACTTAATAACTCTTAGATATACTGTATTGTAAAGATAGTAATCAGTATTTCAGTAAAATTATAATACTTCAGTAGTTTAAGGACGTGTCAAACAAATTGACTAAACTGTGCTTAATTAGATTATGTCTCAAGTAAAATGTGGCCCCACCCTAAGGGTGTGGCTGAGGGTAAAGGGGCTGGGCCAGTGGTGCCAGGGCCCCGCCCACCCGGAGAAGCAGATGGAGAAAATGAAGTAACTTCTGAGTTTAAGGGGCCTCTGAATGCACTAGTCCAAAACTGCACCATGCTGCATAACATCGTTGGACCAGCATGCATCTTCCTAAGACAGGGCTTCGCAAAGTCACAGCTCGTATGTACTATGAAAAACTGAAAACACAGTGTTTCAGCATCTACATTCTCCCCTTGCATTCATCCAAAAGATCATCTGAGCTATTTCAGCAGTTATCTCATCATCGTTGTCAATCATCCACATTTCACTCCCTCCTCTAGTGTGATGTAAAAGATCATGCGGACAGTTGAAAGAAATGTAATCCTTTATGCAGCCTTAAAGTGGTAAAAAAAAGCTGATTGTTAGGTTAAAGCCTATTTGTTTGGCTGCCATAAAAACTATGCTACCACTCAAACAGTACGTGGGGAACAGTACGATTTTATCTGTTATACTCATATACACACACACACATATACATATACATACATAAATAAAACTGTTTCTTCTGGTCCTCAAATCTGAGTGGCTCCTTAATTTTTACGTAAACATATCTGTTATGTTGAATGAATGACAATGGAATATTATTTCACCCATATTTTGACGTTTTATTCTCACAAAAAAAATCGATCTATATGAATTAAAAATTAAGCAGCACAACTTTTTTCAACACTGATATTCTATGTAGTATTTATAAATAAATATATAATCATTTTATCCATAAAAAATGTCTCTTGTTGAGATGAATGACACATTTTAACAGCTTTGTATTAAAAAGACGTGAGGATACTCGGTTAACTAAAGGATTTAGCACTGGATTTGTGGCATATGTAATCCACCGGTTTATACGAATGCGTGTGTGTGTACTATATGGTATTGGGTATTATACACAAAGCTGTAAATGGAAAAGAGAATCATCTGTGGGATTTTCTCATATGGCACTCCGTTTAACCTCATCCTCTCTCTGGACAATGTGTTGTGTCTTTCTCTGGGTCCTCCTCAAGTTAAACCCCCAAATCTACTTATCTTTTAGCTGTTGTCAGGCAACTTTCACTTATAATCTAGTGACTACCCATTTCACTACATTACCTGTCCTCAAACAACTTTCTCATTTCCACATCCCCACCCAAGTGTTTTGTTTGAGTCTATTTGATGATTCAGAGAGATAATGTCAAACAGAGACATGTCTTCAAATGCATCAGTGTTTAACATCTTTCTTATCTGTCTTATTTTAACAGGACAGGGAACTGCGGCCAGAAGAGATAGAAGGTATTCACAGAAACCACACACCTCACATAAGAGTGAGAAAACATCCTGTTCATGCATTTCATCACCTCTATCCTTGTGTTCATGCAGAACTAAGAGAAGCCTTTAAAGAGTTTGATAGGAACAAAGGCTACATCAACTGCAGGGACCTGGGAGAATGCATGCGGACGATGGGATACATGCCAACAGAGATGGAACTCATTGAACTGAGTCAACAAATAGGCGAGTTAAATCATCCCTCAGAGAGCATTCATGATCTGTGTACCGTCTTGCAAACATCATCGTACTGCATTATAGTTTAAATGTCTGAGACCATGTTAAAAATATGGGATTTTGAACATTTTGAAAATAAATAAATAAATAATAATAATAATAAAATAGATAATAATAAATATTAAATATTTGTATTAAATTAAAGGGAAAAAAAACTAATATTTGAAGACATATATTCCTATATTTTTTAGGTGGGGGTAAAATTGACTTTGAGGACTTTGTGGAGCTCATGGGCCCCAAAATGCTGGCAGAAACAGCAGACATGATTGGAGTCAAGGAGCTGAGAGATGCCTTTAAAGAGGTAAACACACTCACTTACACATGTACCACTGTGCTGACTGCAGCTGTCAGTGGCCTTAATGGCAATTTACTGCTGTGCAGTTTGACTCCAATGGAGATGGGCAAATCAGCATCACAGAACTGAGAGAAGCCATGAAGAAGCTAATGGGGGAGCAGCTAAACTCCGGGGATATTGACGATATAATTCGTGATGCTGACCTCAATGGGGACGGACTTGTTGATTTTGAAGGTAAAGGAATGATGGACAAATAATGACAACTAATACTTGCTTTTCTTAACATTTTTAGTTTACCTCACTGAATATTCTGTTTTCTTTTTGTTTTGTTCTTCCTCACTCAATTTTCCAGAGTTTGTGAGGATGATGTCACGCTGATGGATTATTTTCATCATGAGACTCTAAGAGGGACACATGGTGCAGCAATCTTCAACATGCCTACAATTTGTAAAAATGATGTTTCATTTTATTTATTAAATAAGCATTATTATGCAAAAGAGCAATGTCTCATTTCAATAGAGTAATGTTGTAAATGTACTGTTTAACTGGTAGGCCTATTTTCAAAGATGTATTTGTCTGATTAGGAGTGTATTGAATTTGTAGTGTGCTTTTAAAAAATAAATTAAAATCATTTGATTACAGTGGTTTGTTAATTACCTGTTTATGCCTCTTCTTCTTAAAAATGGCAATTTATACCCATGAAATCAATTACTTTTTTTATCATTGTTTTTTACATCAAAAGTGTTACTGCTGTTTTATTCGCCTATATTTATGTAAACGAATGATCTAAAATAGAGAACTTTATATATATATATATATATATATATATATATGTCTAATTCATTTTTTACATATTTTTATTTTTAATAGGCTCATTTATAACATTAAATAAAACATTTTGTAAGAAACCTAAGTGAATTAGCCTATATATTATTTTGTTTTTGTGTAATGTTTTGTTTTCAGAATCGTGGGAGAACCGTGATCTCTATTCTAAAAATAAATTATCCAGAGTCATAGTTTAATAAATAATATCTGGCATCTAACTAATAGCCTACTATTACTGTTTCTACTAGCCTATTAAAATGTAGACTAATGTACAATCTTACAGACTTTGTGTAGTACAACAACAAGGATTTGGTACATTTATAATGCATTATAATGCCGTTTCTCCAGTGTGCAAATTTCTGCAAAAAACCACCCCCTCCACCCCGATATATATATACATATATTTGTTATATATAGGCCTAGATGAGTGATGTAAGCTCATCATGCGGGTTTCCAGTCAGTGCAGAAAGATGAATGCATGGAAATACCGCCATCTTCTGGCTGGGTCTTAAAAAAAAAGAATGTTCAGCTCACATGTTGTTCATGAAAACAAAAATTAAAATGCTTTATTTTCCCTAAATCTAATTCAGTATATATATCAGTTAGATGCAGTGATGAACGGGGTCCACTAAACATCCAAGATGGCTGCTAGTTGAGTTATATTAAAATAATGTTACTTAATTAAAATGCTAAAAGTGAGGATGTAAGCCTACAACTTGTAAACTGACATGTTTCACAAATGCACCTTTTTCTCCTTCCTATTACTGCAAGTTTCATCACAAGTCTCATGATTTTTATTGACAGCCATGATGACAGATTCACAAAGGCAAAAGTTTGGTATCAAGCTTTTAGCATTTTATTCAAAAGGTGACCAGGATTCTGTACAGCAGGCAAAGGGAGATTTCTAGGGAACAGGAGCTTTCCTCTCCTCATCCCTTTATCTCTCTCTCTCTTTGCATCCTCCTGGGGAAAGGGGGATTCGAGTCGGGGAAAGAACAGATGACAAAAAATGTAAATAAATTATGGAAGGAAAAAAAGAAGCCATGCAGGAGAGAAAGAGAGTAGAGGAACTAGGGAGGAAGAGGGAAGTGTTTTTATTGGTGTCTCCGTCCCACGCAGAGACACTCAGAGGCCTGGGAGAATCACAGCCCCGCTGGGCTTTAACAGCTTGACAGACACAGACTGCAATGTGAGCCAGGGAGTCTGTCACCCCGAAAACATCTGCCCCTTCATAACGGCAAGACATGGAAGATGCAGCCTCTTAGATGTCTCTCCTCCTCTCCTTCCTCTTGTGCCCCTCTCCCTCTGCTCCACCTCTCCTCTTCCTCTCCTGGTCTGGCCCTCACTTGCTGGCCATGGTGTAGCAGCCGTGTGGGTGCCACTGCATGTCACGGATACGCCTCACAGATTGAAACTGAGGGCAACGGGCACCATACTCGTTAAAGTGTCTGTATTCACCCTTCTCCAGCAGGTACTGGCTGCCACGGTATCCGGGGTACTGATAGCCCACCCAGCTGAAGAAAACAAAGAGGTTAGTTTGTGC